CTCCCATAGCACCAGAGCAACAGCAAAGCACCTAAAACCACTTTAGTAACCTGGGAAGACCCCCCCCCTCAGCTCAGGAAGCAGGCCCCTGCTTGTTAATTGGAGGTGATTGAGGAGTTGAGCAATCCCGGCCTCCTGAGATAATTGTGCATTTATTAACCAACAGTTCCAGCTGCAGGGACTTAATTGAGGAAGAAATTATAGAAACCATGTTGGCCAGCCTTGGGTAATGTCTGCTTTCGCGTGGCCTATGTCAGCAGAAGCATTATCTGTATATAGTGGAAGATGGTTCCTCTGAGGCCCTCAAGGCCTTGAGTGATGCTATTATAGGGCTCAGGGTTCCTTCCCACCAGCCACAGAAGGTACTTAAGGACATCTGCCATGTGTAGGTTGCCATCCAATATGTGCCGGGAAGCATAGGAGCATTAGTCCTTTTTTATGGTACCAGGGATCGAACTCAGGACCTTGCACTTGTGAGGCAAGTGGCGGCACTACTGAGCTAAATCCCCGGCCCAGCAGCAGCACGACCACCACTTTTTGCAGCTACTACTTCAATTTGGTGGTTCTAAAACCACTCGAATTAGAAAGACCAAAGGTGAGGGTAGATCCATCCACCTGTGTGATCATCTTACGCAAATCATTTAGTCTACACCTCCATTTCTTCTGTAAAACAGTATTAATAAAAGTTCCTAGCTCAGAGGATTGTTGCAGGAGTCAATGAGATAATATAGGAAAAATGTTTAGCACATAATAAGCTCATCAGAAAGTAACCATCATTTCACTCTCTGTACTTGGTCTGTCTTCGCACACTAATCCTATCATGCTGATGCTGTCAGCTTCATTCACATATCTTTATGGAACACCTATGTCATAGCTACTGAAGATGCATAGTGAGTGACCAAAAGAGGACTTAGGTACAAGAGAAGGGTCCCGGAACTAAGCCTTCAGAAAAGGAAGAGGAGCCATCCAATGTATCTGGAGGAAACACAAAGACCAGGAGAGGATCATCTTAGGAAAGCTGTTTGGTGCTGCAAGGGAGAGTGAGCAGTCATAGCAGCTATCAGAGGTCAGGGCCGGGGGTTTGGCTCAGTGGTTCTGCCACCTGCCTCGTAAGCACAAGTGCCCAAGTTCGATCCCCGGTACCAAAAAACAGAGGTTAGGGGTAAACTGAGGCCTCACGGGACCATGGGCTTCTGCAACACAGAATTCCCAGATCAGTCTGAGAAAAGTTTATGGGCAGACAGAGGTGGAAGCCTGACCCCCTCAGGGAGAAACTGGAGTCCCTGTGGAACCAGTCCCTGGAGAGAACCCATAGGGTTTTGATGTGAAGGGGAGTAGAGAGGTGGGGGCGGGTAGGTAGCTGGAAATGTGGGATCAAGCAGTTTTGGGTTGTTGGTATTACAACTTTTATGATGCCAGATACTGGGGCGCGTTGTGAAGCAGATGAGAATTGATCCAGTATTGAGGAAGAAACTGACGACTAAGGAAAGAACCTGGACTTCAGGTGAAGGGCCTGACCCTCAACGCGACCCTCACGGAACAGTGGGGAAAGCAAGCAAATGCAGGGAAGGTGCAGAGAAGCTGGGACTTGAGAGCTCCTGTCTGGTTGGTTCCATCATTTTTGTTAACTGTGAGGCAAGGTTATCTGCTTAAAGCAAAGGATGAGAAGAGGACAATGCGAGCCTGAGGAAGAAGGCTAAAAAACCCTCGTCTTAGAATGTGGGAGTTGACTGTAAAAGAAAAATACACTCGGTGTGGGGGTGCATGCCTGTAATCTCAGTACTTTTTGGAGAGGGAGGAAGAGGGGACAGAGAGGGAGGGAGAAAGAGAGAAAGAAAAAAAGGATTTCTAGGCCGGTGTGAAGACTTGTTTGAAACCTGTGGACATCAACTTTAAGCCAAAGCAGTCTCTCAACTTCCCAAACATTCAGAGTTTTGATGAAGCAGAGTGGGAGAGTAGCTGGGCTTCAGGAGGGTTGGACAAGTTAGCTGAAGGGAGGAAGAGGGGACAGAGAGGGAGGGAGAAAGAGAGAAAGAAAAAAAGGATTTCTAGGCCGGTGTGAAGACTTGTTTGAAACCTGTGGACATCAACTTTAAGCCAAAGCAGTCTCTCAACTTCCCAAACATTCAGAGTTTTGATGAAGCAGAGTGGGAGAGTAGCTGGGCTTCAGGAGGGTTGGACAAGTTAGCTGAAGAGGGAGGGGGTTTATGGGGGTTCGCAAGGAAGGACACATAACAATCATTACTAAGTCGAGGACTTACTGATGGGTACTAAGTGAGCCCAAGAGAAAAGATAATGTGACAATCAGGCAGGGTCAAAGGTTTACAGGACCGGAAGAAGCTGAATACTTGTGTGCTGAGACTCCTGGGGAGGTTCAGATCAGTTCTGAGGTCTCTGGAATCTTTTTCAGGGACGGTGTGAGATTAGGGTGGAAGACAAGCCCATGAGCTCATGAGAGTATTTGAGGACAGGGTAAGGAAACTTATCTGTAGGGGAGAAATAGTGAAAAGTCAGTAAGAATTCTCATGGGTTCTGCTTACAGGTGCTAAAGTCATAAAGAAAGGTGTGTAAGGCAGGTGAAGGTCGGCTCATGGCAGCAAACAGAAGTGGTAGGTTGAATAAGATGACAGTTTTTTGTTTTGTTTTTTAGGAGGGGATGGGAAATGGTACTGCAAATATTTATGGTCCCTGCCTACCTGCTGGCAGGGGCATGCTCATGGCAACAGCTGATGGACTTAAGGTGGGATTTGATCTACAGGCAGCCAATCTGTGGACAGAACAATGATCTAGCTGGTGAACTGTTGTCAACAAAATTTGAAATGGGCCAATTAAATTCAATCTTGGGAGTCTGAATTATAAAACACAAGAACCAGTTGTTAGTGAACAGAAGAAGCTGCTGAAAAGAATAAAAGAGGGATAAAGGTCACCGGGATGGACCCAATATAACTTAAAACATTGAGGGATCCTTATGATAGAGATGGAGTTCATGTCCTTGAATTCTGTGGTGGTTCCTGAGCCCTCTTATTATAACTGCTTTCAAAGGTTTATTTCTCCATCCTTTGTGTGTGTGTGTGTGTGTGTGTGTGTGTGTGTGTGTGTGTATGGTACTGGGGATTCAATCCAAGGCTTTTACACTGAGCTACATCCCCAACCTTTTAACTGAGGACTAGGTCTTGCTAAGTTACTCAGGCTGGGTTCAAACTTGTGACCCTTGTGCTTCAGCCTCCTGACTGCTGAGACTACAGTTGTGTACCACCATTCTCGGCCTTTCAAAGGTTTCAGAGCAGGGAAGCAATGTGATCAGACCTGGGGTTATGACCGAAGACTCTGGTCCCAGATCACCTGATCTGGGCCGATCTATTTAACCCTTTTGTGTCTCGTTTCCTTTGTGTGTAAAGTGGGAATGACAATACGGTTCCCACAGGGTCGTTCTGGGGATTCAGGGAAACTACAGATAATGCACTTTGAAAAAGGCTTCCCCTGCTTCTTATTTTCTTACTCAATTACTTCAGAGAGCTTTCCTTCATGACTATATCCTGAGGCTCCCTGGAGGTAAGCACCTTCTCCTGGTCCTCTTCTCTGGCCCTGGGCCACTCCTTCTGTCTCCTGGCTGGTTCCTCTTCATCATCTTGATCTCTTCTCTATATTCATTTCCCAGTGAGTTCGAGATGTCTTGTGCTTTTAAATAGCTTTAAATACCATTTTCTAGCTGATGGATCTCCTAAGTTTATCTCCAGCTCTGACTTCTTCCCCAACTCCAGACTTCCAGATCCAATAACTTACTTGACATCTCCATTTAAGGCTCCCATTGGCCCCTCACACGTAACTTGCCCCAAATGGACTCTTATGTTCTCTCTCCTCCCAAACTCCCTGCTCTTGCTGCAATTGCATCCAGTTCAGTAAATAGCAAATCCTTCTAGTGTTGATCAAGTGAAAAATCTTAGCACCATCCTAGACTTCTTCCTGGTTCTTACCTCCTACCACCAGCACATCAGCAAATACCTACAATACTATCACTTTTTGCCCCTTCTAACGCTATTGTATTGCTCTGATCTAAGCCACCTTCATCCCTTCGCTGCCAGGTTCCTTAATTTTTGGGGGCCTCTGTTAGAAGAGCTAGTGTCGTTATTTATTTTTGCAGTGCTAGGCCTTGTGCGTGCTAGGCAGATACACCACGACAGAGCTGAACCCTCAGCTCTATTTATTTTTTTTGATAGTTCTAGGGATCAAATCCAGGACCTAGCATATGCTAAGTACACACTCTATCACTGAGCTACAGTTGTAAAGTACTTTACAGGAAGCATCCTATCAGTGCATTATAAATAAAAGTGCCTAGACTACAGAAATAGCATTCTCAGACTCTAGTCCTGCTATAGCCTGTTCAGAACAGAGCAGGACACGGTCCTTTTAGAGCCTATGTCAGAGCTCATCACAGCTCTGTACTTCGGCTCCTGAGCTGCTTACTTAACCTAGGCTGGCCACTGGCCTCCTATCTGTCCGTGGACACACCAGGGGTCTGTTCCCTTTGAGGTCTTTGTCCTTGCTGTCCTGTGTACCTCTGTTCTCCACTTGGCCTGCTCCCCCTTCCCTTCCACTGTTTGACTGAATGTTTCTTCCCAAGTCAGGCGCTCGATGACCACCGTTAAAACATGGGTACACTTCGCTAGCTTGCCTATTGCTCCCTCACTCTGATTTTTCTCCCCATCTCTGACCACTTCAACACTCTCAGTGCTTGGTAGCTGATTTTCTCCCAGCGACTATCCAAGATCCACAGAGGGCTGGGGGTACAGCTCAGTAGTACAGCACTTGCCTAGCCTGCATGAGGCCCCATGTTCAATCCGCAGCACTCCCGGCTATAGCTCCACGCCAGCACGGACTGTTTGCCCATGGCCGTTCGCATATGGGTTCAATAAACACTGGCTGGGCACAGACTCTCTAAATCTCCTTCCCTTCCCTGAACTCCTGTAATACTGGTCTATACCATTATTTGCGGGACTTACCTGTATGCTGAATATACAGGTGAGCTCTTATTCAACTACAAGCTCAGTGGTCTAGTAGAGGGGTCAGCTCGTGGAGAGAGCTCCTCTCATTTATAGGCTACCGACACCTCATGAGTGACTCGACTGGATTCTAAAAGAGAGAGAGAGAGACAGAGAGAGGGAGAGAGAGAATATATTTCTGAGGCACTGCATAGGGCGATGCGGCAGCCTTACATTAGGCAAATGGGCTGATTCTCTGCAGCAAAGGTGAAAGTACACACAATTGCTAGTATTTATTGAGCCCACTTTTCTAAGAGCTTTACCCTTGTCATCCTCACAGCTATCCTGGTAGCGACCAAGTCGGGGATCTTTAAGTCACCTGTCATCTTTTGGTGCCTAAAATGAGGCCTGGTACTCAGCAGATACTCAACAAAAAGGGTGGCCTGAGGCTCTTGAATTCTGAAGACCAGACCCGGCTCAGGTGCAGTGACGGGCTCCAAGTCCCTCTGGAGCAAGCAGCATCGCTGGGACTCCAAATCAGGTTCCGCTCCTTGGGCGCTCTCCGAGCTGGGTTGGGCTGGGTTGGGCAGGGCCGGCCGGCGCTGGCCCGCTGTAGGCGCCAGTTCCG